AGAAGAAACAATCCAAAAGGAACCTTGTGACTCCAAAGGTTACACACACACCAAAATGCTGCGTGCCGCAGCAGCTTCCACCATCTTCATCCATCACACAGAACACATGAAACAGAAAACTGTTCCAAATCATCACTCCCCTATTGTGAACAGATGACAAGTGGCAGCTACAATCGAATCCTCTTGCACGGAAAAGTTCCGAGAAAGAAGAACCCAAAACATGTCCCTCAATAGCAGATCCGATGAATTTCCAGTTTTTTTTGTGACTGATAGAACTGCGAAGATCCTAGTCTTAGAGTTGCTCGTCCGCCCCAAGTCTATTTATTGGACCAAACTCCTCCGCCTTTGAAGGGCCGGAGGGTGGCAGGGATCGCAATTCCAACCTTGGCAGGCACAGAAGTTGGAAGCTGAAAGCTAAAGTAGAAACCAGCAATATCATGTCATATACCCTCCAATTTGAAGCAAAACCAGCCGCCAAGAAAAGGCAATGCTAACAGCAATGCAATCAACACTGATGTGTGGTTCGCTGCAAGCTCCAAATAGAAGGCTGGGTCTCGCAAAAGAATCGCGTGATACCTTAGAACAGCACAGGGCAAGTTTCAGGGTTTCCCTGTCAATTCCATAGGCAAGCGAGTGAGTCAAGTATCGTCACTGTGGTTCCGTGGGGTAAAAATTGATGGTGCGAATCTCTTGTCGTTTGCCGTGGAACTGTCCAAAATCCACCCAACCGCCGGCAGGTGTTCCGCGAACCCTTCCACGAACCCAAACCCAGCTAATTTGTTGCCCCCGGTCAATCCCAAGGAACACTGGCAGCCAAAGCAATGCCAAAACGCCGACTGCATTCACAAGCAAGTTATCTGCAGCGAAGCAAAGGAACCCGAAGGTCACATCTTTCCTTGTATGTGTCGGGGTTTCTCCACTGTTGGCGCTCTTTTTCAAATCATCACATAGCAATGTATGGCAGTCTTCAACCACAAAAGCGATAAGGTCCACGACAAGTCACATCGTATCAAAGGAGTCTGAGAATACTGGGCAAATGCCAGTGATGGTCGCTTGGACGAACGCAGTCTTTGCAAAGTGTCTTCCGTTGGGCAACATGTAGGCTTTAAAGGCGGCCTCTTTTCGACTCCATGCATTCGGTTACGAAGCTTGCCTAGAACACACGGAAGTTGCAAGCCAAGCGCCAGCACCCAAGCTCCCAAGTGCACACAGCAGTGGCACTGTGCAGCGGCCAGCACCCAAGCTCCCAAGCGCACACTCAGCAGCGGCACCCGCACACAGCAGCAGCACCCTGCAGTGGCACAAGCACCCAAGTGCACACACCAGCGGCACCCTGCAGCGGCACCAGCACCCAAGCTTGCAGCACCCAATCTCCCCAAAAGGCAGCGGCACCCTGCAGCGGCACCAGCACCCCAACTCCCAAGCGCACGGCAGCGGCACCCTGCAGCGCCAGCACGCAAGCTCCCAAGCACACACACCAGCAGCACCCTACAGTGGCACAAGCGCACACAGCAGCGGCACCCTGCACTCAAGCTCCCAAGTGCACACAGCAGCGGCACCCAGACTCAAAAACGCACACATCCAGCTCTTCCTATAATTGAAGTAGGAACCCCAATAGCCCACGCTATCTGGAGAATAAACATTGATATGTTAGTGATTGGGCACATCCAGGACTGCACTTCAAACTTCATGGCCTAGTCTTTGGAACTGGTTTCCTCTAAAAACTCGATGTAACGGCTACCGGCTCTGGTGACGGTATAGTCTTGGTGCGTTTTCGTTGGGCAAACCCACATGTGACTTGATTTGCCCTATCAGGAACTCGTTCACTATTTCGAAGCATGAAGCGCCTGCAAGAGCACCCAAAGACACCCACATGCAAAAAGCCCAGTGTAGAACTCCCAAGCTAGGCCATGCTCCTGACTCAGCTGCTCTGTCAATATACTGACCATTGCTGCCTGAGCACCAAGCTGCCACTTGGACATAGCGAGAGTCACAGCGGGTTGTTGGGCAGAATGGCTAACCATTCCTTTCAAGTGGGTGGGTTTGTTCTTTCGACACCGCACGAGTTCTTTGCCGGGTGCTGGACCACATGACAAAATGACAAAGCTTGCAGTATAGGATTCACGACAGCAGGAAGCTGCGCAATAGCAGGTTAATCAAGTCAAAGGGAGTGAGATTCCACCTATGCCCTATGCTGAATGAATGAACTACAGGGAGAACTTATGTGCCCCTCAGCATTGTGCAGCGACAGAAAGCAAACTAGCGAGTAAATGGTGTTCCAGATTCTATTCTGTTCGCTTGCTTCACTTCACCTGGACAATGCAATCCCATGCTAACGTTGCTTTGTTTTCAACTGGCAGTCAAGACAATAACATTGGCCTAGTTCAGCTGAGAAGTCCGTGCATTCTAACAGCCAATTCCATCAACTAAGGATTACACCGTAAAGCACAGAATGTAGGTGAAGGCATACACCAGCATGACCAACTTTTTCTTACATTTATGCCACCAGCGTTTCTGGGAGATAGATAGTTCTGACGAGCGATCTCTTCTTCCATCCTTGGAGCTCAGGGCATCTTTGGTGCGCAAAGAACTCCAGGCTAGGCCAGAGCGTCATGTCACGTGCACATAAAACATATATATATATAACAATAAAACTAAACACACACAAGTCTAAATGCTTCAAGGCAAAAGCTCTTGCAGAAGCCCCTCTTTCCAAAGCTCAAAAACTCTGCTACCGAATCTCCTCTGGTACTCGCACTGCCAAGTCCTGACTCCCTTTCTCTTGCAGACTCTGTTTCTTTGGCGGACTCTCTTCTTGCTTTCGCCAGCGTTTGACGATGCCAGCAAGAACTAGCATCAGAGTCCCCAAAGCATTGGTCGTCCTTGCTCTCTCGCAAATGCATACTCCAATGATTCATGCATGATGTGCTTTATGGTGAGGACGATCACATCAAAACCAACCCTACTGCAACTATGTCAATTTGGCCTTCCAGCGAGGATTCACTTGAATGTGTTCTGTGACTTCTGCCTCAATTAATTGTTCGTTTTTGGAAAAAGAAACCGTCCGCCACACATTGACCAGAGCACCCTCTACGTTGAGTCAACTCGGTCAGTTAAGGACTGCTTGCAAGCTAGGTGGCAAGAACATACAAACCAGCACTGCCACGTACCTGGCCGCGAGATCAGAGACATGCTGGCAAGCTGTAGTACAAATCGATTTGGCCACCAATGAACAGCTTTCCACGGGGCCGCGATTCTGCTGAGTCTCAGTCTCAGTCTCAGTCTCTCACGAAAGGTTTGTGATGGCTACAACCTACAACCAGCCACTGGCAATGCAGCATAACAAAACCATGAGTGTTCAATCGCTGCCATGCCACATCCTTGCCCATCATCTATGCCCGGCCGAGGCGCCGAATGGTTCTTGTGGACAGGCCAGTCCACGTCTGCACAAGCTCCTGGGCGGACTCCAGGGCGGAGTCGACGGTGTCGTTGCCCGTCGCCATGGAGCGCCGAACGAGTTCTGGGCGGCTTTCGTCGGGGGTTCTCGTCCGACGAGTCGGGGCGCCTGGAGCCATAAGAAACCCAAGGAGTGATGGCAGAAGAATGATGGGTGGTCCAATGCATGCACTTTCATCGAATCCCCTCAATTCAAGCGGATTACCTACTTATGTTTGTTTGTCTTCCTGTGGAAAGAACTGGTCTCAATGTTTTACCTGGCCACTCGAGGTATATCAGCTCTACTGTTCCTCGGCCGAAGCACTTTGCACTGAAGTATATAGTCTCTTTTTGCATCAGCCATCGGAAGGGCAGGGGCACATTCAAACATTTTGGACATGTAAAAGTGGTCGAATCTTTCAAAGATGGGAACCCAAGGCTCGGATGCTCTGCAATGACAGTTCATGTTCCCGACGTTTTTCCACTCTGCCCTTCAGGTATCTGGAATGCGAGTTCTTGGAAGTTTTGTCTGAAATGATTTGCTGATTGTTCCGAGGCCTCCCCTTTGCCTCTCAATGTTCGAGTTCATACTAAGTTACAAAAAAGGACTTTGTAGGGTTTTGCTGTCTGCAGACCTTGCGCAACAGTGTCGCATGAAACCAATTTTCATATGTATGTTGCAGATCCTCTCTGTTGGCATCTCTCTTTTCCAAGCGAGCAAGTCTTCCTGAGAACTTGGATGGAAAAGGTTTAAGAAAAACGCAACCCTGAATTGATCAGGACAGTGTACAAGTGAATTTGGTTATAGATCGGTGCACTAGTCAAAGATTTGCTCTTTGTGCCAACTTTTTTGTACCACTGAGACGGCTCTTCGAAGTCCACTGCGAGAAAAAACTACAGTAAATGAAAATCCCACTGTTCAGCAAGAAAGCCCAGAGTTCCTTACTTTGTGTCCAAAACAATCCGGAGGGCACGCAAGGGTGTCAGCAGTTTCTACAGTAATTGGCACAGTAGTAGGAAATGATTGTTTGTGCAACGTAGTGTTGAATAGTTGGTTTGCTATCTGGTCTGCTATCTTGTGCGCTTGCAGAGTTGCCAACAACTGATTTGCTTAGTTCAGTCACAGGCTCGGACGCAGGGTCTTCCACGGATTCCACGGCAATCACGGAGCTTTGTCTTTTACTCTGGAGAGGAAAAAGGATTCTTGCTGATCACTTTCTGGGGTCAATTGGCATTCCTCGTTCTTTTCCAATGCCATATCTCCGATGTAAAGTTCTCTGCAGTCCACTTACAGTGGTGGTTGTAGCAGCTTTTCTTTTGGCTTGAACTTAGAATACCTTTAACCTGCAGCGATACTAATTTTTGTTCAATGTGTTTTTGGTTGTGTTTCTTCTTTTTGTTCTATGCTCTAATTGTTTGGTTTGCTCTTTCCGCTGTGTCTGCTCTTTGTGTTCCTTCTGCTCTACCTTTTCATTAGCATTTCCATGCCTGTGTTGAGCACCAGTCATCCTTCGACTGCCTTGGGAACATTTAACATGGGACGATTTGTTCACTCTCGTGTTTTTCTTCTTCAATGTGTCAGCGGTACCTTGTTCAGGACTATTGTGATAGTACTGTGACCATGAATTGTAGGAGAAATATCTTCATGTACCGGCATATCAACACTGCTATGATCTTGACCTTCTTTTCATTCCTGTCCAATAAACATGATCGAATTAGACATGCAATCATCCTCTGCAATAGACGATGGTGTATATTGTGTTCCTGCACTTCTGCCTGGACGATACTTGTCCCGTGGGAACTGTCTATTGTGAAAGTATTGGCCCATTACAACTTTGATTCCAGATAGGAAATTTTTGTGGAAAAAGTCTTTCAATGTGCTGCCTGGCGGGACAAATACAAGCAAGTTCAAAAATGATTGGACACAAATATGCAGACAACTACTTTGACTGACCATCCATCTTCCTTTCTCAAACCTCCGCTGTCTGATTGCAAAGGACTGGTTTGGGTTCTAACTTATACATATATATATGTGTAAATGGAAAATGCAATTCTGACATTCATCAATTCTCATGTCAAGCTTAAAGGCCACAGCACAAGAAAAATGCCAGCATAGACGCCAAACAGTTTCTGTTTTTTTTTGCATCAACTTGTTGAATTCCAATGGGTAACGATGTTTCAATAGCCTCCAGCTGCTTAGGAACAATTGTTTCTGATTCCCTGGTCACATGCACAACAACGAGAAGATGTACGATGTCATGAGATTATCCAAGGATGATATAAAACTCGAAACGTTTCTTGCTGTTGTTGCATTCATAGTCACATGAAAACAAGCACGAAAGAACAGCAGGAACACAAGGACACAAGGCTCACCAACAACGCTGCAGAACGCGGAAAGAAGTGTAGAAAAGGACAGGTTCAGAACATGCAGAAAAGTCTGTTGCAAACCAAACTCTTTGCAAGGCGGCCGCAAAGGTTTTAGTTGGTCAGCCATTTCAACGGAGCTTGGATTTGGTTCAAACTGTTGATTTGTTTGGTTGCAATGTTTTTCTGCAGTTGCATTTTTCTCTTTCGGTGCTATGCTGCCTTCGGGTTTTTTTTTGAAGTGTTCATCGCAGTGCAAGCAAAACGCAAGCACGCGAACTCGCAAGCATGCAACCAACAACCAAGCAACCAACAAGCAAACGACCAACCAACCACCCAAGCAAAAAACAAGCGCACGCAACCATCCAAACAACACGAAAGCTGACCAAACACAAAAGTAAAACACCGTTTTTATTGGTTGGGTCGGTCGAAAATGCTTGCCCAAGAGTCAGCTCATCCTTTGGTCCGCTTTTTAAAATCTTAAAGTTGGATCCGCATAAAAAAACCACATTGACAAAGACAAGATGTGATCGGAAAAAGTCAAGCCAACATTATTTGTTCAACCTCTTTCCACTTTTTTTCCTGTTGTTGGAGTTGCGCCAAGAACCAACAGCACGCAAACAAGAGTTCACACCAGCCAAAATGCAGTGTGCCCATTTTTTTTGCACGAGTCGAGGCGCTATGTGTGCAGGTTGTGCACAAGTCACCTTAAGCTAGTAAAAGAAAGAGAAGTGAACCGGCCAGCAACCCGAAACCGAAGCAACCAAAAAAACCCCCTAAACAAAGCAACAAAGAAACAACAAAACACCCCACCAAAACGCTGGCTAGGTTCATATCTCAGGATGGCTGAGTCAGCCTGAAGAGCGGTGAAACAGGATGTGGCCTGGGGCAATGAATTCATCCCTTGCGCTCAGTACGTCATCATCAGGTTCTTGTGCTTCGTTTACCAACGAAGTAAAATCACCAATGTTGCACAGTCGGAAGGTTGCTAGATCAATTTGCATTGACATGGAGGGCAATCAAGACAGCAGCATTCCGCTATCATGCTCACAATGTTCCAGAGAGGTATGGATCATACGAGACATTTCGACTCAGGGAAAACAGCTGGATCAGCAATCGAAAACTACAAATCGTCGAAAGGAAGAGCCAGCGGAGCCATGTAGTCGAGAGAGTGGAGGTGCGAGCAAATGGCCCCCCCCCCCAGAGGGAGGGGGAGTAGCAGAGGTGCCCATCCACGATGCGACGGTGACTCCAAAAACAGCTTTGCAACAGGGAGTCACAGAAAGGCAGATAGTTTTCACAGCTCACCAAGAGCCGAGTTGGGCAGTCGACTGGCGCAATCATAGTGGGGGTCATCCGGCGCCTTGCAAGTGCGCCTCCTATGTGCAATCATTTGCATTCATGAAACGTGCAGGCCCTTGAACTACGTGAAACAAAGTGAAACACCGTTATCCTAGGTTCTGTGCGCTGTACAGGCTGTACATTCTGTACTCATCCAGGACTACCACTAGGGTGCCACAAGGTGGCTTGCTCATGTTTTGGTCAGGACCAGCACATGGGTGCAAGCCTGAGCTCTTTGCATAGCTTAGCAAAGCTAGTGTGGTCCTTGCGCAGTTCCTCATAGAAGTCATCAGCCCACATGTCGCAACCGCTATTGGTGTTTGGCGGAAGGAAGTGAATCCATTTTGGTCTGTCCAATTGTCCACATTCGTCAAAGGCATTAGCCTCAGCGTATGGCCCCCTCCCGGTCTTTCTTTTTCCGGTTTTGTGGAATGTGCAAAGTTGCTTGCAGCCCGCAAAGGCTCGTCGAGCAATATACAGCAAGGTTGGTGGGGTACGCACCTCTCGTAGCGAAGTGCATTTGAGAAAAGCTTCTCGTCCTATCCTTCGTAACTTGCTGGAAAGACTGAGCTGTTGTAAATGTAAACAGTGTGCAAAGGTGGACCCCAATATCTCACTTATTTCTGTTCGAGGGAGGTCGACTAACTGGAGCTGCATGCAGCGCTCACAGGCCGCAGGTCCAATCCATGGTAGGGAGAGCGAGACGATCCCAGCCTCCAAGAAACAGCACTCAGGCAAGCATCTTGTCAAATTTGTCAAATTTGTGGGGTCATACTCAGTTTTTTCGAAATTGAGTTGTCGCAATGCAGTACACTTCTCAAAGGCCCGTGGCCGAAATTGCGCCTGTGGGGCGAATTGATTGGTTGTGTCACTGGTGGCTCCTATCTGTGTTAGGGAGCAGCATTCCTCAAAAACCTTGATCCCGAATTGCTTGCACCTTTTCTTTTGCACGAGTCGAGGCGCTATGTGTGCAGGTTATGCACAAGTCACCTTAGGCTAGTAAAAGAAGTGAACCGGCCAGCAAACCGAAACGGAAAACAACCGAAAAAGCCCCCGAAAACAAAGCAACAAAGAAACAACAAGAAACCCATCTCAGGATGGCTGAGTCAGCTTGAAGAGCGGTGAAACAGGATGCGGCCTGGGGCAATGAATTCTTCCCTTGCGCTCAGTACGTCTTGCTCAGGTTCATGTGCTTCGTTTACCATCGAAGTAGGATCGCTGCCCTTTGACTGACAAAATCATCTGCATTCATGATACAAGGGCATTCGAACTGCCCGCCTTGCTTCAAACAAAAAGGAGGGCAATGTTGCACAATCGGAAGGCTGCTAGATCAAAGTTGTATGACATGAAGGCATTCAAGGAC